CAGATTTGTTCCGCCTCAAACTTGTCCTAAACACCGACAAAACCAAAGGGATGTTGTTTTTAAACAGGAAGTCGGTCCCAGCAGTTCTTCCTTCGATTTTATCCTCAAATGGTGTCCGTATTGAGTTTGTTGATTCCTATAAATATTTGGGTATCTTGGTCGATTTGCATCTCTCCTTTAAGCTCCATGTGGAAAACCTAGTAAGGAAACTGAAAGTTAAACAGAGTTTCTTTTTCAGAAACAGATCCTGTCTAACTCTGAATGCTAGGAAACGCCTTGTATCTGTGACTTTCATTCTCTGTTTTGATTACGGTGACATTATTTGCATGAACGCTCCTACAAGAACCCTGCAGATGTTGGATGCTGTCTATCATGGTGCACTAAGATTCATAACTGGCTGTGATTATCGTACCCACCACTGCACCCAGTATTCACTGGTTAACTGGACATCATTAACTTCACACAGACACTCTCACTGGTACATTTTCATCTTTAAATCACTTCTTGGTCTGCTGCCTTCATACATCTCCTCCTACATGTCTCTGCGTGAGTGCAGTTACAGCGTGTGCTCTCAGGACATTATTACCTGCAGTGTTCCCTCAGTGAGGACTGAACTTGGCAAAAGGGCATTCTCCTACTCCGCTCCTGTTTCCTGGAATATCTTGTAAAAAAGATCTGAAGCTCTCGACCTTGACCTCTCTAAGTGGCTTCAAACATCTGCTAAGTTCCTGGCAACAACCAATGCAGACATGTTCCTGTTTATAGTTTTCTACACTGTCTTATAATCTAGCTGGGTTTTTTTGGTTTCATTTGTTTAACACCATTTTATTTTCACTTGTTATTCTCAATTTGTACGCATCCTTTATGGTTGTCTATTGTTGTCTTTGTTGTCCACTGTTGTCATCATTCTTTGTTAAAACCAGGTCTCTTGTTTAAATGAGTCCTCGAGGCTCAGTGGGACTAACCTGTATAAATAAAGGTTGAATGAATGAAATAATATATCTCTAGTCTGAGAACACCTCAGGGTCCAGGAGGACCTGGAGAGAGTCTCTGTGGGGGAGAGGGAGGTCTGGGTTTCTCTCCTGGATCTGTTGCCTCTGCAACTTGACTACGGATAATCATTAGAAGATGGAGATGATTCCCACTTCCAAAGGTGGAAGCATGATGGTTTTTTTTACTTGTGTGTGTGTTTGTTGTTGTGTTAGCAAAATATCTCATGAACCACTGAACAAACCATTGGGTGGGCATCTACACTCAAACTTATTGAGTCCACTTTAGTTAAAACAGCTAAGTCACCTGAGGAAATTAAAAAAATGGATGCAACTCATGCATGATCTGAAGACCTCCTACAGGGTGTCTCATGACCCACAGCGGGGCCCTGACCCCCCACTTTGGCCACCAAATGTCTGCCAGCCTTGCTCTGAGTTACGTCAGACAGAGGCTGCAGTGTTTGCTCAGCAGCTGTCAGGCAGAGTTCACGTTCGGTTAAAGCAAACAGATCCAGAGAACTTCGAGCACTGATAATAGTTTCCTCGACGGTGATATCGGCTCAAACGCTGTAAACATGTTTACGCCGGGATTTATCTCCCATTAATGACACTTTCAGGGAGAAACAGCCTCAGCTGACATGTTTTTTATATAAATCCAGATGTTTCTCCTCTGAGCTGCAGGAAACATCAGCTTCCTGTAAAAGGGAAAACTCGGTGATTATCAGCCGGGACTCGTCTCCGTGCTTGTCCCGTGTCTTTGTGATGATTGGAGCGTGTTTTTCCTCGGACCGGACCGGTTAATGTGTTCCGGCGCCTGTGGGAAGCTGCTCAGGTTATTTACAGAGTCCAGCATCAATCAGGCGCTCAGGGGGAGAAAAGGCTTCATGCTCTGCTTTTAGAAAAGCCATTTCCTGCATCAGCAAACAGCCACTTTCAAACGTAATCGCCCAGATTACAGCTTTTATATTAAAGGTTGCATCCTGCAGGTGCAAATAGGTCTGTTTTTGTTCTTTGCACATTTTTCTCTTTATTTTATTAAAGAAATGCAGTGAAAAATAAGCTTGTTGTTACTCAAGCCTGCTCGTCACCAAAAGGTGAGAGAACGATAAAATATCTTTTGAACCAACTAAACTCATTGTTCACGTACGGCTGATTAACTTCAGCAATCAACACAATATACAGACTTAGCAAAGCCCAACATGGATTTAAACCAGCCTGTTTTACAGAAGATGAGCTCAAATTTGATCCGGTAGTTGCAGAGAGTCATCCCAAACAGGTACTCTGAGTGCTGAAAGCCACGTGTGATATCGAAGTATTGCACATCGCATTATATCTAAGATTCAACCAAAACGACAACAACTCTGTCCTGTCTCTGACGATGATCCCAACATAAAGCATGACATCAAAGGCAGCGAGCGATATGCATTCCTTAAAGCTCATGCAACGTACATCTCCTACAAATACAAAAACTGAAAGAAAACATCTTAATAAAGAACAGGAAGTGACATCACAGGGGAACTTCCTGCTCTTCGTTCACTGAAACGATCTTATTTGAACTAGTGTCTCTGATCGAGACAAAATAATCTGAGGAAACATCCAGTTCTCCTCTGCTGTTTGTGTTATCAGCTGTTGTAGCGATACTCTGTCCCCTTTGACATCACTTCCTGTTACTGACATCACTTCCTGTCCATGAAAATATCTCAACAACTGTTCATCTCAGCAGTTTTAAAGGTTCTTTCTTTAAGAAATGCCAGGACTTTAAATATAATAATAATCATTTTGAGTCCTCAATGGGTGCATTTGTTGCTTTCGTTGTATGTGTGTGTATTTGTATGAATTGTGTGTGTATTTGTATGAATTGTGTGTGTATTTGTATGAGTTGTGTGTGTATTTGTATGAGTTGTGTGTGTATTTACTGTCTATATGGGCAGCTGCTGCAATGCTGTATTCACCCCTGAGTCCATGAAAAATTTCCCCTAGGGGACACTAAAGTATATTCTATTCTATTCTTTGCACAGATCGTGATTTATTTTCCATCCATCCATCCATCCATCCATCCATCCATCCATCCATCCATCC